GAAGTTAAAGATATTATTCCCTATAATTGGTACAATATAAAACTTTACTACTTACCACATATATGTGAAAGAGATTGTACCAACATTTGCTACACTAGAACTACCATGAAATTCAGCCAGCCTTTCTTGTTACATCTATCAAATTTTTTATGCAGGAATTAAAATGGATTATACAACTCCAATTAATTCTTATAAAATATATTTATATAACTCACTCTTTTTATACAATTTGCAGATGTAAAAACAAATGAGCATTACTTCCTATTGTGTGGCTTTTGAGATTGTTTTTAATTTTGTTTAACTTTGAAACTTTCTAGCAACAACAACAACATAAAAAATGAGTAGTACATGTAACTAAAAAAGAAAATAAGAATATAATCAAAGTGTTAACTGTCCATACTACCTGAAAAAGAAACTCCCATCAATACTAGAAAGAGCCATAACATTTACTGAACTTGAGAAGCCTATTTTACCGTTATCTCTTATAAGAGAAGGTGGCATTGCTGAATGTTTCCCGTATAGAAATGGCTAAATTCACCATTACCATTAATGTTTGGACTACACTTACTTAGTGAGAGTAGCAGAGAATTCTTTAAATCTTAATCAGTCAAATGGGATCACGTTTTTAGCAAATTTTGTATCTGAAACATGTTTCCTTTTTTGTTCCAATAGACATAATTCTGAGCAAATTTTCTTAGTTCTAGAAAATGTTCAGTCTAATGCTCACCATGACATCAGAAGCATTTGGGACTGAAGAAAAATTGTCAAATTTCATTTTGAATAATGAATTTTTTTATTGGTTCTCAAAAATCCCATATATTTGTTATTAAGAATCGTCATGACTTCTTGTTCCCAAAGTAAAAACTATTTTATAATGCAAGTCTGCAGTTTTCTTCAGGCAAATCATAGATTCACTGGGCTCTTCAGTACAGAAACTGACTCTACTCTTCTGAGAAATAAAGTTTCAATTTCACTTTCATTTCATTGACATTATTTACTCAGCTAGGAAATAATTTGTTCTTGGTTCAATGTTTTTTTTTAGTTTTAAATTTAAATAAAAAAGATGGTTGGTAATATCAGTAAAAATGTTAAATCAAATTGCCAGTTTTTAATCTTTCCTCAGGCAACTCATTTTCCTCTTCTAGAGAATTATGTATTTTTTTAGTTCCCAAAATCTACTTAGAACCTCCAGAAAACCAATATACCTTGCAATGAAGGACAATATGTTCATATTCCAAATCTAATATTTTATAATATTCTCTTAATTCTTATTTGTTCAATTCATGTGCTCATATTTTATTCATGCATTTCACAATTGGTAACATGCTACAAATTAAAATTTTTCCCACACACTGATTCATAGTTTAGAATAAAATATTCTTTTACCTAAAAAGTTTTCCGGCAAAGTTATAATCTTCGTTGGTTTACTTATTGGCAGCACTGGTGTTCTGTCAGTGCAAATACTTATAACTTTTTTAGAATCTTTTTGTAAATTTTCTAGGCAGGATTTTCCTGAGTGAAAAATATCGGACACTCTTGTTTCTCAATGAAACAATTCAGGTCAGCTATTTTCTTCAAGACATTAAAATTATCACCAATTCTCTCATAAAAAAGGCATAATTGGGTTACATTACATATATTTATCCAAGGAAAAGAAAACAGCATATACAAAGACTTTCAGTTGCCTTGATACATTTGGTATGTCTTAATTTTTGTTTTGATTTGTAACTGGATTAAAAAAAGAAAAATTTGGAAAAGTACAAAACTGCAAATATTCACAAAGAATAAATAAAACAATTCTGTATCATACGCATATCAACTATAAATGAATTGGCAAAAATCAGTGGAGTGTAATACCCCATATCTAATCATGCAATGCCTCACTTATGTTGCATATCTCATGGGTTGGTTGATCATGGTTGATCAAGATCATAGGACTAGTTAGAATAATTATATATTGAGAGATATAGTAATTTTTTTTTTAGAAAGTAAATTATAATAAAACAGGGTTTGCACTTGGAATTAATAAATGAGAAAAAAAAACACCAATTATTTTACTATGACAGTTTTATAATCCTAATTAATTTAAACACAGTGAAATTAGTTCTGAGCTTTCATTTCTGAAGAACATTATTTCAGATTGTGTTAATTATATTGAAATATTTCTAGTTTATTCTTAATAGAGGGCTGAAAAGTTATCAGCCGTGTTCAATTGAAAAAAATCTGACCAAATCTTCTTGATCAAACACTTCACCATCCCACTGTAAATCTAAGTGGATTTTCTTTAATAACAGAAATCATTCCTATTCACTAATATTTAACTGTCAAAAAGGTACATATTTTACATTTGGCATAATGGAAAGCATCAAAAGAAATGTAATTTCAGCAGGGAGCTCTACAAACAACATTAATACCTTTCTACATAAATCAAGCAACTTATATAACAATGAGTTTAGCTCTGATTGGCCTACCATAACTGCTAAGTAAATTAGCTGCTAATGCCAGCTACCCAGACTAACTCTAAACAGGGGACAACTCACACTTAACATTCACAAACTGATACAGGTTGAGAATCCTTTATCCGAAATTCTAGGGACCAGAAGAGCTTTGGTTTTCAGGTTTTGGAATACAGGCTATTTATCTATAGCATCTATAAAATGGGGCAGCTTGGGAATTGAACCCAAGCATAAACACAATATCCCTTTACAGTTTATAATACAGCTTATATATATATATATATATATATATATATATATATATATATATATATATATATATACCCTGTAGGTAGTTTTATATAAATAACATATACCTTGAAAGTAGTTTTATATAAAATTTAATTAATTTTGTATACATACAAATACAGGTAATGGCACTAGTCATGTAATCTTCACACAGATTTTTAAGTGGTGAAATTAAGATTTCACATAAAAATAATGTTTTGTACTTTCTGTATATATACCAAAAAACATGATCACTATGTACAAAAAATATATAAATGTAGGACTTTTTGACATTTTGAATAATATCTTTACTGAGCATGAAACACACCTGCTCATACCTAGGACATTTCCCAGTGCTCCTTGAGATTTTCCATTTGTGGCAAGTCATGTCAGCACCTGAAAAACTTTCAGACTTGAGGTTTTTGGATTTTTGGATAAAGGATATTCAACCTGTACAAATATATATCAACAGGATATTTTGTGGGGTGTATATAATAAGGTTATACCCACTTCTTCAGTTCAACTCTAAAATCAACAAATCCATTTACTTGATAGTTTTGTTAAAATTAATTTGCATGTTTTTGGATATATTGAATTAATCTTGGAATTATTAAGAATGTTGTTACCAATGTTCCCTTTAATTTTTTCACCACCTTTGCAGAACAAGAAGGCTTTTGTATAATTAAAAAAAGTGACATGTGCTGAACTTTTATTTTTAAGATGATCGTTTATACCTTGTCTAAAGTTTATAAAAAAAAAAGTCAGGTTAGTAACTTATAACAAAAGGTAAAAAAGGTAATAAATGATTTATTTGGTGGACTTTTTTTTCTTTATTCATTCTTATTTTATTCTATATTTTTCTTTACTACATCAATCATATTAGGCAACAATAAAAGATTATTTAACATGTCTAAGTATTATATTAACATAATTCTCATGTAAAAAAAAAAAAAAACCTTCACTTGAAAAATTTCAAGACGATAAAGAAATGAAAAAAAAAAAAATTACATTATATGAATTTGACAATTGTACACATCAATATTGGCATACTTGGCAAAAGAGGTCAGAAGAAATAATCCCTCTATTTTTCTCATTGCATGTATAGGGCCAAAAAGGCTCTAAGTAACAGAATTGGAGTGTACAAATTATAGTTGCCTGTAGATCGTGAGAGCATGAAACTTGAGTTGTCCTTCATTGAGTATTAACATTGTGAAGCATTTTTATCCTCTCTAGATATTTGAGACATTGAACACTTTAATTTACTAAATAGGTAGGTGTTTGCCTTTGGGGTTTTCTTTGTTTGCAATTTTTTTTTGTGTAAGGTTATCTGGCAAGTTGTTTGTTGGTCACACCAACATTGTTGTTTTTTTTATTATATATATAATTTTTTAAATAATCATTGATCTTTATATCTAAGGTTCAGAAAGGTGTATAATAATGGTTACAGATTTAGTACATGATGTGATTAGTCAGCAATGATGAAATCTTGATAGACAGCCTATTATGCTAATTAGAGCAAGAGCAATATGATAATTGCTTATTCAGCCAAGTTGTTTTATGATTTAACCTTTGAAAACTTTTAATATTTGGTTGAATGTCATAATCTTTTTTTATGTGCAACTTCTCAACTGTGAGGGAACACTGGCTATAAATATAATCAAATAATGTAACTGTGTTTCTTTGAACAGTGGTGTATGTTATGGTATCAGATAACACCCAACAAGAAAGTCATCAACACATTCTAATTTCATAAAATTATAAAAGGAAATCATTTTCAAGTTATTTCAAAAACTGATTGTATTGATATCCTTGAATAGTTTTGATTTAGTCATTTAATTATAATAGAAATAGAAAAATTATTGAGTCTATCAATGGAAATCACTGTTCATCTTTATTCAGCTATTCATTCATCATGTATGGCCGGAAATTTTATCAGGTGAGAAATTATGGAAGGAGCATGACAAGATTGTTATGACAGGAAAAAGTTGGGGTGTTAGTGAAGAAGTAAAAGTGACTTGACAGGTGAATATAGATGAAGAGGGAATTAAGTGCAGATAGAAAGCAGGTTGGCTAAGGTGCTAATGAAAACAAGTCCTAGAATTAAAAACAGGAAAGGATTAGCAAGTATTTTTAAGCTAGGAAAAACAGAAGAGGGAAGGAAGAAAATCACTAAATAAATCTTAAATGGTAAGAATGAGTGGAGAAAATAGAGGGAAATGAAAATGGCAGAGAGAAGAAATGCAAGTGAAAGAGAAGTGAAAGAAAGAAATGCTAGTTTTAAGAGAGATGAGAGAAATGCAAGTGAAAGAGTGTGAGGAGAAAGAGAAATGCAGGTGAAAAAGAGAATTGTGTGAGAGAGAAATGCAAGTGGAAGAGAAGTGTGAGAGAGAGAATTGCAAGTGAAAGAGGTGAGAGAGAAAAATGCAAGTGAAAGAGAAAGGTGAAAAAGAGAAATATAAGTGAAAGAGAGGTGAGAAAGAGAAGTGTGAAAGAGAGAAATGCAAGTGAAAGAGAAGCAAGAGAGAGAAATGCAAGTGGAAGAGAAGTGTTAAAGAGAGAAATGCAGAGAGAGAGAGAGAGAGAGAGAGAGCAAAATAAAAGAGAAATAATAAGAAAGAGATTAATTAAGAAGAATTCACTAATATAAGATATTCCCTAACATGGATGTGTGGGATGAGAACAATCTACTATCGTGGATTAAAATTCCCGAAGGTTTGCTGAATATGACAGACAAAAGTTTGGAAAGTACAAAAGCTGAAACATTGAGACTATAAAGAACCAAAACGAGGGCAACAGTCCAAATAGATAAATGCATATAGTGTTATTACTATTCTTCCTTCTCTATTCTGATATATCTCTCCAATATAGGACACATAATGGAAAAATTTTCATTGAAATATAGTAGAGTAAATAACTGGGATTAATCATTATTTTAAACCATTGAATCTTTTTTTGATTCTTAAATTCATGATTTAAAATCTATACAGGTCATGCTGACTAGTCCCAACTCAACCCACTTCCCCAAAACTGACTAAATGACCAAACAATAAATTTAGTTTTGGAAGTTCTTCATGGTTGAGTCACAAACTTTTTAGCAGCTGCTCACACAAAATAAACAATATCTCAGCTTTACATTGAAGAAAAAATATTTACTTGCAAATTTCTACATTCTTTTTAAAAAATAGGAACAAAAAAATTAACTGATATTGTTAAAATATTTTATAATAGCTGATATGAAATTGAGCAAAAATGGTTTCCCCATCAGAAAAATTTATTAAGATCTTTCTTTCTTTTCTGTATCCTGGGTAAACACTTCAAAGTTGTAGAAATCATTGCATTCTCACAATGCATAAAAGTTGATTAATAAAAAAAAAAAGTAAATTTTAGCAGCATATATTTAGATATTGATATTCTATAAATTTTAAACCAAGAAACCTTGAGATTAGAAAAGAAAGACTATTTTAGAGAGTAATTTTTATTTGGCTGCCTGTTTTACTTTTAGAGCTAAGGAATGTTTTTAATGCAGTGAGACAGAACAAAGTCTGTTTTTTTTTTAATTGCAGACATTACAATAATAATTACAATTTGAATATGAGCAGGTGGTTTAACATTTAGCAGCTCAGAATAAGTAATCAATGAGACGAGTTTGAATTCCGGCTGAGTTTTTTTACATTTACTTTTGTGCAAATAACCTCAGGAAAGATATGAATGAATTCATCTCTTCCAGCTATGGGTTAAATGGCAAGGAATCTTTAGCCTTGGTGGCAGCCAGTCTAGGATAAGTACAACTCTGAATTTAAAGCCATATGTAGCCCTGGCATAGCACATACTATACAGCATTTGATGATCACAGACTTCACAATTACTCTATGATGTAATGGAATAACCTGTCACCCCCATGAGTAACTACACTATAGTAACTGATATCTATAAGTATCAGTAAGCCAACAGACTACAAGAGTCAAGCTGGGATCTGTTGAGTACGACTCAGGCTTATATGAGAACTACCAACCTTCCAATAGCAGCACTCACTACTGGATTGACTTGCAATGACCTTGTGCATAACTGTTACCTTTATTCTTATTGTACTGGTTTTTTACAATAAACCGTTACTTATTTTATCCACCATGTTTGTCAAGTATATTTCTATTAGCACAGAATATAACACTCTATAAACTTCATGGCAATTTGTCTACAGCTGTATCAATGTTATTATTATGAATACTTATTATACATGTATGCATTAATTCCTGACCAATGATAATCCCTTTTATCTCATTTACAATCAATTGTAATAGATTTCTATCATAAAATACAGCTACAAAATAAGAATTTATGTTCAGAATAACCATTTTCTATCTAAAGCTAGCATTACTATATTTGATATCATAAGACTGGTTCCCATTCACTCCCTAAAAATGGTTAAAAATAATGATAATAATAATAATACCCTGGGTCTTATATACAAAGCTGAATTTCAGTACTTACCTGCAAATAAATTTAATTTTCAATATTCCTTGCTGAGAATGATAATGGACCTTATATGCCCTCAATGGCAGTAATTTTGGACCAGTGACAATTTTTAATTTGGACTGCAAAGTATAACATAAGTATTAAGACTTACTGTCACTTGATTCTTCATGTGAACAACCAAATATTAGCATGAATATTTATCAAAGAATATAATAATAATAATAATAATAGAACATTGGATGGAAAAAATATCTTGTAATAAAAGGAGCAGATGAAAGAATGAAAGAAAAAATAAGGAAAGCCTATCTTATAAGAAAGAAAATTTTGGAGACATTACTCCACAAAAGAAACTTTATACAATGTGTAAATAAAGTAACTATCAGATTTGAAATCCAAAACAGATATAAAGAAAACTTTTTCTTATCAACAAATCAAACAATACATAAAATTAAATATTTTCAAAACAAATGGGCTACCATTGTCAATGACAATTTGCAATCTTTCATGAAAACTTTGAATAACATTTTGACACATTTCAGATGTTATTGAACCTGCCTCTTCTTCAATGAAATTCTTAAAATCCTAAAGTTTTTTTTAGGTGTTCTATGGTTAAGCACATTCTTAATATCACCATAAACAAACAAACAAAAAAAAAATTCTAGAGGTGTAATACCAAAGAATGTTGTTGCTCAAATCAGTCTTGCTTGCCAAAGTCATTGATTTGGTAATTTTATATATACATAAGTTTGCAGCATGTGAGTAATGTGCAGGTGTGCCATCCTGCTGAAAGATCACTGTTTACAAAGCTCTACTAGATAGATAGATAGATAGATAGATAGATAGATAGATAGATAGATAGATAGATAGATAGATGTAGAAAAAAAGTAATGGTACTTGCAGATACAAATAGTTTTTACCAGTGATGTTCTCAACAATAAAGATCTGTAAACAATTGCTGAGCACAACCCTTTCTAGTCATTTACATTTGGGTGTGAGTGATATTTACCAACTGTTTTTATGAGGGGTTCACTGCCTCCAAAAACATTATTGTCTTTATTTTTTGATTTGCTAAAAAATAATTTCATCTCATTTTGCTTTTCTTTTATTTTTGATTTTAAATGTGATAATTACTCTTATTTACTCCTTGTACAAATGTTGCTGAAAATGTTTGAATGATAAATGATAGTAAAAGAATACAATGATACTGAATTAATAGTTAGAGACTACTGGAGCAGTTCCAGTAAATGAAGCTCCAAAGAATCCTTCGCATCATTTGGGAGGACCAGATCACCAACGAGTTCCTCCCTTGGATGTCTCTCCCCATCATCCTTCAGCATCACCCCTCTGCTGATGGACTATATATTTTTTAGAAATAAAAATATAACCATAGCTTTGCCTGAGAACAAAAGGCTGTGGAACATAAGGGTAATGTCTACAATAATTGGTGGAATGGAAACCATCCCAAAGATATCAGAAATGAGATTGGATGAATTTAAATTAATTATACAAGGAAGGGTTGGGAATAGCCTAATCAAAGTAATGCTGAGGTTTGCAAGAGTACTGTGGAAGGTGCTGGAGGAGACTCTTTGTCACTTGATCTTCAGTAACCATACACCTGGTGTGAACATACCAATGCATAAACAACAACTACAATGATATAAGATATGTGTTATGGGTTTAACAACCAAAACAGTCATTGGTCATGTCATTGAACCTAGTATTAAAATTGTAAATTAGCTACAAAAGTTGCTTGGAAATACAGTCAGAAGTCAATCTCATCATGCTTCAAGAAATTTTAAAAGATTATTTAGCTGTTAATTAGAAAATTTATTGGGATTACTTCAACATTTTCTCTACCAAGATTGGTTTCTGAAGGAGGATATTAAAACAATCCCTTTCATCATGATGAAAGGAGATCACTTTAATATCTCCCAGCCTTGCTAAACTAATTTAGGTGATTTAAAGATTTAGGATATTTAAACTCAATAGGTAGCATGGTGGAGTAATGGATAGCGACTCAGATTGAGGAATCGGAGAGCCGAGTTTGAATTCTTGTCGAATCCATTACATTTACATACATGCTAATACCCTTGGGAAAGGTATGAATCCTCTTCTCCTTCCATCTATGGGTAAATAGCAGGACAGACCAGGTTCTATAGCCTATGATAGCAACTGGTCTACTGTAGAAAGAAATGGCAACCTACTGTAGGAAAAAATCTGCCTCGTCAGACATGTATTGAAAGATACATGATTGCCTAAGCGTTTATCCTGCATGACTGAAACTCAATAGAGATAAGAACCTGTGACTGACATGTTCCAAACTGTAATGGTTCATTTGCTTGCAAAGAACACATTGCCAGCTCAGCAACTTGCTTTTTAAAGTATAACCCTAACCATCTTTTTAAATGAATGATTTGTTTACCATATTTGTTGAAATATGTTTTATGGAGTGTACTGTTATCATATTTGGGTGTAAGCTTCCAAGTTCTCACTTTCCAGTCTCTATAGAGTCCGAAAGTGTCACAGAGTCAGTATAGGTGACAAATTATTTTCCAACCTCTACCTTTCTCTCACAGGTGGAATATGGCAAGCTTCTCACTGCTCTGTTGTTACTTTCATTGAAAGTGCTTGGATGAACTGCATTCCTTGGTTCTGCCAGTTCTAACCTTTATGGTCAGGACCTGCCATGCTACTTACAATATAACAAACCACCCACATTCCATCCATATTCCATTGGTAATAAGTAAGTTCCACTCAAACTGCATCTTCCCACAAATCACTGCTCTGTGGAACCAACTCCCAAAAAGATGTTTTCTTGATCACTGCAATCTTAACCTGTTCAAGTCTAGTGTTAACTGCTATCTTCCTCTCCTATACACATAAACGGCCTCTTACTGTAACCCTCTAAATCGAGTGGCTCCCGAGCCTTGTAATGTAAAATATACATATATAAGTTTGAAGAATATCTTCCTTTAACTTTTTCACTAACTAAAGCATTTAAGAGTTTATACACTCACTGCTTTAGAGTGGAGGACGTTCACTTAAAACTTAGTGAGGACGATTTTTTTCAGTAAATCATTTGATAGTGGAGGAATTGAAAGGCTCTGAAAACTGGCTAAGTAACATTTATTGCCCTGGAAATAAAATAAAATTTGCTTTTTCATTTTTCTTTGTTTTTTTTTGTTTATTAAAGTTCCCTCCCATATTAAAGTCAAACATTTATTCAAACAATAGTAAGAAAGAGGAATTAAATCTAGGAAACAGCTGTTGTTGCGCAAAAATAAGTTATGAACATTATAAAATGAATCAAAGAAAAAATATGAAAAATTATTCGATTATCTATATTTTTCGTTTAGCCATTAAAATGTTTGTTCGATTTTAAAATTAAAGATTTTACGAACGAAATGTACCTGTCCTGCCAAAACGTAAAATTCAGTAACATTTTTTAACAACAATCACAAACAATTGTTGACAACTGATGAAATTTATTTATTTAATTAATTGGTATCTTTCCCATCTTTTCTACAGAACAATTAACGATAATGTTGTAATGTCACAGGACATAGAATCCTAGTTGTTTTGTTATAGTACACCGAGTAAGTTTTACATTGTGTTTTTAGTTTGTAAAAAAAATTTTTTCATTTTTTTTAATGAACGATTTTTTTTCACTTTTTGGCGTATTAAAATAAAATCAAAAATTTTCAAACCAGTTTTAAATGCAGAATTTTTTTTTTTTTTTTTAAATCAGTTAGTGTTCAGTAAAGTGTTTTTTTCTTCCTACTAAAAAAAAAAAAACCAATTAATTTTTAAATGTATTTTTTCTTCTAAGTGTGCCGTAAAGCGTTTCACAATCGCGAATTTATAATTAAAATAAGCACACAAAGAATTAAATGACAAAAAAGTACTGAGTAAAAATGAACGGTGGACAGGTAACCGGGTTAAAAAAATTAAAAAGCATAAAAAAAAACAAATTTACTTTTTTTTTCTTTACTTACAATTTTTTTAGGTGTTTAAAAAAAAGACGAAATACACAGTGAGTTGAAGAAGCTGACTTAAGCCAAGGTAAACTTAAGGGAAGAAGTACAATGATATAGAACTTAATAATAACACAAGACAATTTTCTATTGGCTAAGTGAAAAACGACTCCTGCATGTCTGTCAAGGAAGTTGGGGGGGGAGTCGATTTTTAATTACACCCACTCACTCACGCCAAAGCTATTCAAGCTGCCACATGTGTATAAAGAGAATAAAAAAATAGAAAGAAAAAATTGGATACAGTGTTGTACAACAGTAGTTTTTCTTTCTTTTTAATTCAATCAGAAAAAATGTTGGGGAGACGGGTTAAAGGACAAGAGGCACAAAGGGGGGGGGGGGGAAGACGTGCGTTTGATGTGGGGTCCGGGGACTGGACGCAGCAAAGAAATGTTGTTTTGATGATTCATACCTTATCTTGCTCGCACAAGCAGTGTAAAGGTAAATACACCAGAGGCTCTCACCATTACAAGCTCTCACTCACCCGGATTTTTGGAGTTGAACTTTGAAAATGTAAACAACTACTCACTGAGTGTTGTTGGTATCTAAGCTTATCCAACACACAAGGCTACAAATATCTGGGGAGCAACGGATGAGACCTGAACTAGCTCCACTGCAAGTTGGTCTTCAAGATGAGCTTACTGACCAAACAATCGCGCAGTTGGTACTCATTATTTAGAGATGTTTTTTCTAGCCATTTATCTACACAGGGCCGGTGCGTACTACCCCCAAATCACCCTGACTGGGAAGCACAAACCTGATGGGGGGGCTCCGGACAGTGCTTTGTGACCCGCGCTGTCTTATCAACATTTGCTTTTTTCTACTTACATTTTACACTACAAAGACTAAGTACAACTGACTAAAAACTACAGGCTGAAAAAAAGTATTCGCGGATTTTGACGTCATTCTAGGGTCTCGTTTTACCGTCTAAACGCAAATTCGTTTTGCTCATACTAAGCCTTGAAAAAAAAAAAAAACAAAAAAAAAAAAACAAAAAAAAACAGTTTATAAAATTCACTAATTTTCATCCCTAAAATCGAGTGATTGAAACTTTTTAAAAAGAAAAATCTCAAGAAAAATTGCCGCAAAACATTTCTGATTTTTTTACGTACATTGTATTTTTATTTTCAGTTCTTTTAATTAGTTGAATTGTTTATCTAGCATATGATTCATTGGACCGTTTATTGTACATAATTAGGTTATAAAAAATTTATATTTTATGAATACTACCTTATGAAAATTAAGATGATGTAGAGAGAGGGGGAGTATCATACATTCGGTGTGGGCGAAACATTTCTCAAGTCAGAATTAGTGGATTTCTGTACAGTGGACGTTTTACTTTTATGTGCCGTGTCCTTTTCAGAACGTAGGCGATCATGGTTCTTCACAACTTCCTAAGCAAATTTTAGCTCTTTTTTTGCCCCTTCCTTTGTTCCCGCTCTGGCATCCATTCACACAAATTCATTTGATAGGTTACTTATATACTAGTTTACTTGTTTTTCTTGCTTTCAGTATGTCCTGTAAGTTTTTAAATTTTCCTAGTTCACTTTCCTGATTATGTGTCTTAAAAGATTAATAAAAATAATTTTCCACAGCATAAAACTAACTCGAACTCAAGCGTAATATGAACCAATAATACATACACACAAAAAAAAAAAAAACTGTGTGCAATTGTGTTCATCGTCTTTTTTTTTTTAAAACGCATGAAAGTTTTAGTTAAAGTTTGATTCTTTTTTTTTTTTTGTTGTTGGAATCTTGCACTCACTTGAAAGATAATTCGAAGGAAATAGTTTTCTTTTTATTGACTTTTAGAATCAGACCCGTTGTATTCCAAATAAACTTAGGAAGATTGTATTGCGTCAATGATGAAGGAGGAGCTGAAAATTAAAATTAGCATTCAAGATCTTTTTT